TATATATATATAAATTCTGTCATTTTGAATGTACTGTCTGAACAGCATTCCAAAAATGCTTGGGCATATTTCATTTTAACAACACTGAATAAGCATTTGGGAAATGTGGAGACTAATTGTTGAAGCTTTGAAGGTGGAATTCTTTCCCATTCTTGCTAGATCGTCTGGGGTCTGTGTTGTATTTTGCACTTCATCATGCACATTTGCAGTGGGAGACAGGTCTGATCAGTGGCAGGCCAGTCTAGTAACGTACTCACACTCTTTAACTATGAAGCCACACTTTTGTAAAACATGGCTTGGCATTGCCTCCATGAAATGATCAGAAATGTATCTGATAAAGATGTTGTAGAATAGTAGTATATTTTTTGCTCCAAAACCTGTATGTACATTTCAGTATTAATGGTGCCTCCAAGATACAGTGGGCATATACCTTCACAGATGGTTTTTGAACTTTGCACTGAGAACATTTCTGATGGTACTTCTCCTCTATGGCCAAGAAGACACGACGTCCCTGATTTCCCCAAAAAATTTCTAATGTGGACTCGGAGATGTGACCACACCATACTTTAGCGGTAGTGATGGGAAAAGGAAGCGTTTGATTTGCTTCATGAACCAGTTGTATTTTTTTGTCTCCTCTGGATGGCACTGATGGATTAAATAAAGGGATTGAAGAAATTGCAAGTCAATGTGATTTCAGCCCAATGTTGAACAGAGAGTACCATCTAGAGGAGTCAAAAAATACAACTGGTTCATGAACCAAACTTGATGCTCACTTTTCCCATCACTACTTCATCCATTTCGCATCAGTCCATCTCATCTGAGCTTTTGCCAAGAAAGGCCGGTACCATTTTAGGTGTTGTTTACAGCTTGCTTTTGTAGATGTAGGAACGAACATTACGTTTCTCAAGGATTCCTGAGCCCACATTGTAATATCCTTTCCACAGTTATGTTAGTTTTTAATGCAGTGCCGCCAGAGTGATTGAAGGTCACGGGCATTTAATACTGGTTTTCGGCTATG